ACCCCACGAGCATTCCGCTCGGCCCCCAGCCTCTGGCCCGCCCGCCTCTGGCCCCACTTTGGCCTGGCGGGTCGGAAAGCCGAGGAGCGCCAGAGGCAGAAGGGGCCCCCGGGGCTGGGGTGGGGGTGGGATGGGGGTGAGGATGGGGGCTGGGGCGGGACGGGCCTGGACGTGGAACTGCGCGGAGGAGGGAGAACTAGGCGGACTAGGAAGAGCCCGCTGGGCAGGCGCCGACGAACCCCTCGCGCCAAGGCCCGGTTCGGCGGTTGCGCCTCCGCCTCCCTGGCGCCTCCTGCCCGGGTAGGAGGAGCCACAGCGCCACCCAGCGGCCAGTGTCGGGGAACGGCAGTTAGGGCTCTTGAGTGGCCCCAGAAGAGTGGGGGGAGCTGAGTGGACCAGGGCCCCCATTCGCTTTGCTCACCAATCCACTCGGCAGGTGGCACTAAATGAATCTTTCTTCAGGTCAGCTGATAATAATACTCCTCTTAATCTCAACCATCTTCCGTGGTCCCCGTGGGCCTCCGTATAAAGTTCAAATTTCTTAGCGTGACCTTCAAGACCTTCCATATTTTGACCTCAAGCTGTGTTTCAGTCTTCATCTCTTGCCATGCACTCCACACATCCAAGCACCACTCACTCTTACCCAGATGAACCACTCACCTGCATCAACATCCATTCAGGTAGTGAAGCTTTTCTAAGGCACTGGGGAGGCAGAGAGTAGACAGAAAACTTGTTTACTCAGAGTTTACATTCAAATGAAAGAGAGGCAATGAACAAGAAAGATGATGTATAAACAAGATCATTTCAAATAGTTACCAACACTTGATCATGGAGAAACAAGTGGTATGATACAGTGTCTGGGGGCAAGAAGGGCAGTACCATACCTCGAAGAGTCAGGAAAAGCCTTTCTGAGAAAGTGACATGTGAGCTTAGATCCGATAACAAGAAAGAGTCAGTAATGCAAAAATCTAAGGGAAGAACATTTCAGGCTGAGGAAGGACACACAGAAAGGTCTTAAGACAGAAACAGGCTTAGTGTATCAGAGGAAAAGAAATAAGGCACAGTGACTGAAGGATACTAAAGGGAGTGTACTGGGTGATTGGAGGTAGGCAAGTGACAGGATATGTAGGGCTCTGTGGGTCATGGTAAGGGGTTTCCCATTGATTAATGTGGGAAACTACTGGAATGTTTTAGCAGGGGAAAGACATGGTCTGATTTGCATTTTTGGAAGATCACTATGGGTGGACTATGTGTGTATGTGGGGGGGTGGGATGCCAAGTTGGAAGCAGGGAGACCAGTTAGGAAGTCATTGCAGAGGTCCAGAAGTGAGTTGATGGTGGCCTGGTCTAAGTGGTGACAATGGAGGTGGGAGAAATTGTCGGATTCTAGAGGTATTTCTTTTTTTTTTTTTTGTCTTTTTTTGTTTTTGTTTTTTTCTAGAGGTATTTTTGAGTGATTTCTGTTCATGTATCTTCTTCCTGACCAACCCAGAAGTTTCTTGAGGGCACATTCCCTATCTGAGTGATCTTTGAACTCCCACTCTATACCCCTAAACAGTCTAATCAGTGCTTAGTGTTTAGTGACTAGATCTCTGTGACCCTCCCCAGAAAATGTGACAGGAGGGAATCATAATAAGATAGAAACTTTGGCCTAGGGCAGAAGTTCTGGGTCTCCTTTCTAGTTACTCTGATGCATATCTCCCTTTTTCCTTCTTTGTCCCTCAGTATCTCCTAAAAGAATCTAAGAATGTTTTTGGAGGGAAGGAAAAGCAGGGATTATGAGTTCTTCCTCTGTGCCAGACACTGCACTTAACGCTATCACATATACTACTTCATATGTTAATTTATTTAATTTTTAAAAAATTTATTTAGTTTTTATAAAAACATCTAACCCTACCCCTTCATGTTAGAGATAAGTAGATTAAAAGTCCAAAAAGGAAAAGTGACTTTATGAAAGGCAAAGTCATTATTAGCACTAAATATTCACTAATTGAGTCCTACAAATAAGTCCCTCTGCCCCCATTTCATAGCCTAATACTGTTTATCCAAACCCATTATGCTAAGGTCTTTCTCAGCCTCTTGTTAATTGCTAGTATTATGCAATGCTAATAAATTTCAGAGTGAAACTGCAGGTCTTGAAAAAGATTCAGGGTTTCATGAAGACAATGAGAGTGACATAGAAGACAATCTCTAATGTCATGTAAGGTCCTCGAAAATGGGATTTGGCAGAGATAGACCAGTCACTACCACTGTCAGAAAAGAAAATTGATCTGGGTAATGACAGGATCAAGGCTTCAAAGAGAATGATTTAACTCTTAAAGGATTACAGGAGGTCCTAGGGATAACTGAAGAAGCCTCTAATTTTGGAAAAACAAAACAAAACTTTATGATTGTGTGGCAAAAGTCAATATTGTGTTGTCATGCACTTAGGTCAGGAAGACTGTCATCCCCCAATGATTGATTCATTCTTTGTTCAAAGAATTAGTGCATATTTGCAATTATTTACACTTTTTAAATTTAAATAAAAATGTTTCTCACCTTTTCATTTTATTTTCCAAGATAAAGTCACAGTCAAACCTTTTCCTCCTTTTCCCCTTCTCTGTTGTGAAATATTGGTCCCCACTTCAAATGGACTCATTGTAAGAGTCCTTTCTCTAGCACCACTTATCTGAGAATAACAAGGGCTTCATGTAGCCCCAATCATCTCTTCATCCTGTGATTGGCATGCCTGGCTGTACATTAGAACCTCCTGTAGAGTTTGTTAAACAATACTGAAGCTGGGACCCCAACCTGGACTAATTCAATCCGAATCTCTGCTGGTGAGACCAGAGTGGAAACTCTCCAGGTGATTCTGTAGCATGGCCAGGGGTGTGACTGCTGCCACCTCTCCTGCACATGCTGAGACTGTAAGAGACTGAGGCTGCCTGCAGTTGGACTGCTCTGAAGGGAGTGTACCAGGGCCTAGGCCCAGGATGAAGGAGCAGCTGCAGGGCAAAATCCAGGAGTCAAAGGGCTGGTAGGGCTGGTAGGGTCACTTCTTTGGCAAAGCTGTTGTGCCCTTTACTCTCTTGGCACTGTGGGTACATAGCCTCCCCCAGTCTTTTGCCTTACTTTCCTGGGTTTTGGTCAAGAGAGCCCGGCTCCCTCATGGACATATGGTGAGACAAAAACTTGAATGTTATAGTAAGTATATTATGGTTGCTGAGCACATGACATCATGTTATCTTGTGGACCAATAACATGTCTATGTCTTGTTACTGCTGTATTCCCAGCACATAGCATAGTACTTGACTTATAGTAATTCCTTGATAGGTATGTTTTGAATGAAAGAATGACTAAGTCGAATACAAGCAGGATGTGATAAGTACCATGATTCAGGTACAAAGTGGTGTAGAAGTACAGAAGAGGAGAATAGAGTGTTTCGCCTGGGAGAAGGGGAATAAGGAAATCTTTGTAGCAGAGGTGGCATTTGAGCTGGACTTTTAAAACTAGCTGAGGCAGTGATGGGTAGAGATGGAGAGAGGACATCCTGGTCACAAGAAGCCATGTGAGCCAAGGACAAGAGGTGAGAAGGTGCAGAGCTCATTCAGTGAAAGGTGTATGGGGTGGGAGTGCTTGACAGTCTCAGACTGGTTGGATGGGAATCAGAATTCAAAGAGCCTTGAAAGTCTTGCTAGGAAGTTTAAACTTGATTCTACCGGAAATATGGAGCCATCTGATGTTTTTGATCATAGGTATAACATGTTCTCTTTGGGAAGATTAGATGTGTACTTTACCACAGCAGTTCTTTCACAAAATATTTATAGTGTGCCTCCGAAATTCCAAAGCATGTAGTGCTGGGGAAGATGGATCAGAATCAGAGTAATTGAACAAGAGATTAGTTGGGAGGTATTGTAGTAGACAAAGCAAAAGTTGCAGAGGGCCTGAAGTGGCTACGTGGGGAGGCAAGGGTGGGAAAGAGGGGAAGGATTGACAGAACTTGGTGACTGTTTTAGGTGGAGTTCAAGGAAAGAGTTGAAAGACTAAGAGACTGATGACAATAATAATGACCCATAGTTCAGCAGCTCCTTCATGCCAGCTGTTGTGCAGAGCCCTTGATGTCTATCATCTAACTCTCAAAATAACCCGGCTAGATAAGGACACTAAGGCTCAAGGAAGTCAAGGAATTCATGCCAAGTTGTGAACTCATACACTTGGGGTCTAGAGACTGCCCCTAAACTCCGTGCTCTGCTGCTTTCTGGGGTAGTTGGGGGACTTGGGTTTTCTCAGTGGAGAAATTCGGCAGCTCAGTGATGACACCAAGATTCCCTCCCAGGTCACACTCTCCCCTATCCTGGGTATGTGAGAATGTGGCTGTGGTGGAGGGCTCTGTCTGCTGCCTCTCCTCTGATACCTGAGCGCTTTCCCACCTAGGATGGGAAGATGGGCCTGGTGAGGTGGTGTGGGAGAGATGAGGCTGGGAGATTAGAAACAAAGGCTGCCATGAAGGTGAAAAACTGCTAATCCCTAGGCCATGTGGGGCCTGCATATTTAGCCCACAGAGAGGTATGTGGGTTTTTTGTTTTTACTTGAGCCAACATTTCAACATTCAAGGCTTCACATAAAAATCTCAAGTCTTGATGTCCCTTGAAGAATGAGATGACCTGTCAACATTGGGCCCATATTCCCACAAGTCAGTTCTTGACTTGAGCCGTCCATGTAGATGCCTGCACCCTGCACTTGTCATCACTTCCAGCCTTGGTGTGTCTGTACTTCAGCCCAGCCTGGCCCACTTCCTTCGCTCACACTTATCTGCCTGATCCCTGCTGGAGGTTGAATTTGGACTTCCTTCTCTCGAATGGCCTGCTACAGAGGTTACTCTTTTTTTCTGAGACTTGAGCCGACAAGCAGCAGGGCAGAGGGATCAGCATCTCCTGGTCCCGCCTCCTCTCCAAGCCACAGACATTTTCCTCGGGCAATTTTGACGCCATGGAAGAAAACCATGAAGGGAGGGTTATCATCAACTCTTTACCATTTATTTCTTTATGGGGTTAAACAAGAGCAGAGAGGCCTCTGCCCCACAATGCAACAAAACAGAAAGCGGTACACATACAGACTCTCACCGAAACACAGAGGCAGGGGTAGGGCAACAAGTGAGTCATAGCCAGGTGAGGGAGGGGGACTACTAGGAATCCGACTTGGAGACTCAGTCATAGGAACTAGTGCAAGAAAGTCCTACTCATGAAGCACAGTGTAGAAAATGGCGTAAGAAAGCTGCCCAGCTCCGCTGCCTGTGACGAAGGGCAGAGGCAGCTGAAGGGGTGGTGGAAGATCTGGGCAGTGGGGTAGATGGGGACAGTCAAATGACTTCGAAGTGGAGTGAGGTGCCCCTTTCCCCTGCCACTGGGCAAGGCCCTGGGCTGGTCTGAGCCAGGGGTCTCCTGGGCACTTGGTGAGGGGGAAGTGGGGTGGGAGTCTCCAAGGGTCCATTTCCTGGGGCCCTAAGGCCCCCCCTTTACTTCCCAGTCCCTTTGCCCCTCTTGAGGATGCAGGAATTAGAAGGCAGTACCTAGGGTCTCTCACGTCTACAAAAGCATCTCTGGAAAGGAGCCAGCACCTCTTACCCTCCCCAGCTGAAAAGAGCACTCTAGAGATGGGGTATGTGGCTAGGCCTGAAATGCTGAAGGTCCAACAGGGAGCATGTGGCCAGGGCACAGGGCTGGAGGTGGGTTGGGGGACACGCTGTGAGAAATGAGAAACCTGGCGTGGAAGGACTCTGCAGCCTCACAGAGCCTATTTGGGGACCCTGATGAGGCCCTTGAATGATTCCCTCTCTACTACTGAGGTCTCTTATTTATCCCTCAGCCAACCGGTTCCAGCTGTCCCAGTCTTTGTTTTGCCTAATGCAGTTCCAGGTCCACCACTCCCCACCCCCTACCTTAACTCACTGGCATCTCATCCCAGACACAGGCCTTTCTGGCACTGAAAGCCACTTGGCCTGTCCCAGAAACATAGTTGTGGCTCCCTTTCTTGTCTGTGCCTATTGGTTTGTAGATGTCCCAGGCCTTCCACTCCCAGGAGATCAGCACGAGGCTGATGGCCCCCAAGGGTCTCTGCAGGCCTCTTCTCTCATGCAGCACTGTAGCCTGACTAAATACTTCAAGTCTCTTGGCCAAGGGACCACAGCACATTGTCTTTATCCAGTGGGTCCTCTTGCTAGTTTCTGGACTTTCTCCAGCAAGGGGCAAGGGTGGCTGGATTAGGGGACCCGCTATAGGGTGAGGAGCAGTCTGATGGTTCCACAATTAGGATAGTAACCCATGGGGTCAGGGATTGGAAGGGATGAATACTCTTTGGTAGGCTGGGAATGGGGACAGGCTGGGGATGGGGAGGCTCATCTCTGGAAAGCCCTGGGGCAACACCACCAGGGTTTCCTTCATTGAGGCCTGGGCTAGGATGAGTTGGGGGAGTTTGGGGACCCAGGCCAGGCCTGACCCTCTTGGGCTTAAGTCCCTCCTCCCCGTGGAGATCAGAAATGGAAACGTCTTTGGCCCCAAGGCCAAGATCTCCAGGGCAAGAGTGGCCCTTGGGAGTATGTGCACCTTCTGTAAGATATGGCCCTTCAGACAGTGGCAGTCTGACCATGTGCCCTCAGTCTTCGGTTTCAAGGCCCAAGACCCCAGTCCCTGTGCTCTTTTCCCCAGAGGGCTCCTTTTGCAACCTTTTCTGATTTGGGGCGGTGTCCTTGAGCCTGCTTCAACACTGATCATCTGCCTCCCCAGTGCCAGGTGGTGACAGGCCATTCAGCCATCTTTTTAAGCCCTCTGTGTTCCTCTCTCCTCTCCACTCCCGCCCTCCACTATTCCTATCACCTAGGGTGCTGGGGCACATCTTAACTGGGGCCCCAACCTAGCTGCAACTGCATACACCTTGTGTCCCAGCCTGGTCCTTCCTTGTGGCAGGCCCCTCCCCCCCCCCGCCCCGCCATGGGACAAGGGGCGCTGGAGCGGAGGAAGGCCACTGCATCGTCTGCCATTGCCTGTAGGAGTATGGGCAGGAGGGAATTAAGGATCGTGGCAACAAAAGGAATGCAGAGGGGGAAAAGAGTTTCTCCCCTCTGTGCCCCCCAACATTCCCTGCAGGGCCAAGACCAGATAAACAGCCTTCTTCCCTGGGGTCAGGGCTCTAGTAGGGGTGGGCATTTCCAGCCCCCACCCCCCCTCCCCTTTTCTTTTGGCTAAGTTCCATATATGGAGCCTGGGAGGGGGGCACCTGCTGCTCCTGCCTTTTTCTCCTGGATGAGTTTTGCAGTTTCCTGGGGCCCTTTGGCGGCTCTGTTGGAGCTGCTTTTGGGGTGGGGGTTGGTTGGGGGTGATGTGTGATCCCCCCATTTCCCCTGCCCCCTACCTGGTCCTACACCTCCCATGGGAGGGGCCCCCTCCCCCTCCCCTTGGGGGAGCTGGAGTTGATGTCGGTGTGTGGTGGAGGTCTGATCTCCCTCCCTGCGGTCACTCTTCCCGAGCCAGGCCCTCGTCTAGGGCAGGCAGTGCCTCCAGGCCCGGTCCCCCACCACTCTGGCTGCTGGAGAAGGACACCATGGTATGGAGGAGCACGAGAACAAGGATGTAGAGCCGGATCCTGCTGGGGCTGAGGCGGGAGCCCCCAGAAACCGGCAGCAGGGAGGGCTTGTGGCCGAGACGGCCTGGGGGCTCGTGGCGGGGATGGTAGTGGTGGTACTGTTGGTGGTAGTGGTGGAAATAAGAGTGGTGGAATTGCTGGTGGTGGGTTTTGGGGGCTTCAGACTCCTTGAACTTCTTCTTCTCCGACTCACAGGAGACCCACTGCACGTCACAGCACTTGGTTTCTGGCCGCTTTGGTGAAGTATCCAGCAACCCTGCCAATGGATAAGGAAGGCGGGGTGGGGTGCTAAGGGGGCTGCTGGCTATGCCTTTCTGAGAGAGGTGATTGTCAAAGCTGGGGCTGCTCTGGCAGTCCTGCCCAAGACTCTTCCCCCTGTCCCTTAGTACCATCCCTTTCTGGACACTATCTCCCAGGGACCCCAGATAGTTTCTCTGGGATAACTCCCTGGCCCTATTCTACTTCATCCCATCCCCACCTGGGGTCTTACTATCCACTCCGGCAGCCACTAGCTTTCCCCTAACCCAACTTCCCTGTTGTCCTCCCCGACCACAGCCCTAACCTGGTGCCTGCCTTGGGCCCCCAGCCTCCCCCCTCTCCCAGGGCCCTGTCTTTACCTGTACAGATAAAGCCAGGGAGCCCTCCGTATACCATTTCCTCATTGTCAGGGAGGATAAAGGGGCACCGGGTCTGCACCTCCAGGCAGTATTGCTTGCAGGGCACCCAGCGCTGGCATTCCTGCTGGGTCACGGTGAAGTATTCTGAGCACAGCCAGGCCTTGTAGACAGCCTGTGGGGAGAGGAAAGAGCATCAGCCCAGGTGCCAGCCCCTTCCGGCGTCAGAGGAAAGTGATGAGGAGGGGTGTACCTGTAGTCTGTTGGGGGAGGGTATTGTGTGCTTACTAAGCCAACCCCAAGATCCAGGGGCTGGGGAAGAAGGGTTTGGGTCAAAACCACTACCTCCTACCCCAAAATGTTACATTTCATAGCCAGAACTCAGAGTCCCCAGTCTGCAGTAATCGAAGACTTTTAATTTATTCACTGGTAAAATCACAAAATGACTCCTGTATCTAAGCTGGAAAAGGTCTTACCAGTCATCCCAACCAACTGCACCATTTTATAACTGGTCCCAAGAGATGTCCGGACTTCTCTGAGGTTACTTATATTGAGGTAAATTTCACTTGCATTCGATTCAGCAAACATTTCTTTGGCTGATGGTGTTAAGTTTCTAAACTCAAGAAAAGAGATGGAGAGGTTAATCTTTGCTCTATCTCATTAAGGTGTTGTGTGGATCAAATAATATGACACGTATGAAAATGTTTTGTATATTCTATAGTGCAGTACAAATGTGAGGGGTTATTTTTTAATAAAAACAGGAATCTGCCTTACTAAGCACTAGATGTGCCTTCAAGCTCTACTTAATCCATGCTCTGTCCTGTTGGCTTCGGCCTTGGAGTTGAGCAGACACCACATTTCATTTGCTTCAAACTTTGCTTGGCCATTTCACTTCACAGGTATACTTTCTGCCCCTCATCTAGCCCTCTCTTACCAGGCACTGGGTCCTAGCTAAGAAAGGTTTCCTGCTCTGTACTCTTTGGCTATCATCAAGACCAGAGTTCCTCAATGGTGACACTCCTGACATTTTGGACTGCAGGATTCTAGTGTGGGCTGTTTTGTGCACTGTAGAATATTGAGCAGCATTCCTTGCTTCCACCCAGCAGTTGCCAGTCACATCCTCCACTCCCCCCCTCATTGTCTCTGCCCATTGCCAAATATCCCCTGAGCAGGGTGGGGGGCAAGGGACACAAAACCATCTCCCATTGAGAACCACTGATCTAACTTCTTGCTCCTGAAAGTGTGGACCTGGACCAGCAGCATCACCATCACCGAGGATCTTGTGAAAAGTGCAGATTCCCAGGCCCTGCCCCAGACCTGACAAGTCACACCTGCATTTTAACAGGATGCCCAGAGCTCTGCCCACATCCAGTCCTCATGTCTTCAGTTGCTCCCTGTAGCAATGGCTCTCTGACTTCAGTGTGCCTCAGAATCCCCTGGGTACTTGTTAAATAGGCAAAAGGCCCCCTCCAATTCAGCTTCAAGAGGACTGAGGAGAGCTCAGGAATCTGCCTTTGGAACAAGGGTCGAGGTCATTTTGCTTCCAGAGGCCTTTCCACCACACTCTGAGCAACATGGTCAGAGTTTCTTACACAGACATTAAACATTTACACTCAAATGCAAATAACTCCATTGTGAACCTGGACTTTGGCAATGTAACCCCACACTGGCCTTTTCCAAAGTGGGGGCAGGGGTGTGGTGGTGGGGGATGGTGGTAGCGGGTTGTGGTGCAGATTATCCCCCTGAGGAACACAGCTTTGCTATCTCACTGGCCTCTCAAATTTAACATGTTCTAAATCTTAAAATTCAGTTCCTGTCTTCTTTTTTTTAACTCCAAATCTGCCCACACCACTAAGTCTTGACCACTTAAGTGTCACAATCATGCATCTGAATATTCAAGCCAGAAACTTAGGTGTCGGCCATCATGTCTCTCTTAATAGGCATTCCCACACACAGTCCATCAGCAAGGCATGCCAAGTCTCCCTCTATGTCCATGACTCTGTGCAGGCCATTGTCATCCGTCACCTGTATGACAGTCTCCTATGTGGCCTCGCTGCCTCCAGTTTTGCTCTTTCCAATCTACTGTTTACACAAGAGTAAGAGGGATCTCAAAATGACATTTGATCATGTTACTCCCTTGCTTCGTATCCTTCAATGCAGTTACAATAAAATCCAAACTTTCAACCACAGACTTCAAATTCCTGCATAACTTGGCCTCTATATGTCTCTCCAACCTCATTTTCTACCTCTCCCTTCCAGCTCATCATGCTCCACATGCTGAGGTTTTCTTTCTTTTCCTTGAACATGCCCTACTTCTTCCCACCTTGGGGCCTTGGCACACACTGTTCTCTTGGCCTGATATGCTCTTGATTCTCCATTTCTGGTCTGCCTGGGTCCTTCTCAACTTTGAAGCCTCAGTTCAAATGTTATCTCCTCAGAGCGGTCTTTCTGACCACTCTAGCTAGAGAATGACCCCTCATCATTCTTTTCCTTAACTGTTTCTTTGTTTCTTATTCTTAACTGTTGTTTGTTTCTTAACTGTTTCTTTGCCACAAGTATGAGTTTGTCTGCATCCTTGTTTTGTTTTTCTCTGTCAGCCTCACTAAAATGTGAGTTGCATGAAAGCAGATGTAGGCGTGTCTTACTACCATTATGTACTCAGTGCAATATATGTAAAAAAACACAACTGTTAATGGAACAAACCAGACAAATATATGAGGACATGTCCCTAAACTCAGAGAAATTCCGGTTTCATCTAACTTGAAACTATGGCACATTTTCTATAAGAGAAGTTAAATCACTGGCCATGGGAGGGAAGCAAATAGGAAAGCTGGGAAAGATTTCAATAAGGGGATAAGAGTTGAGCAGGGATTCAAAGTAGGATTTTAGATGGGAAAGGCAGAGATGGGACAGAGACAAAAGGGCATTTCGGACTGAGGCAACAGCTTAAGCAAAGGTACGGACGTGAGTGCAGTGTACAATGTTTTGGAAGAATGGAGAATGGTTTTGTATGAATGAAGTGCAAAGGGTACCTATTTCTTATAAACAGACATTTATTTCCAGGTTTTCACTATCACAAACAATCTATACACATCTCTCTTGAATACTTGTGTTATATTTTATTTACATAAACTCTTAAGAGTGAAATTATTGGCATAAAAGGTCTGTGCAATGGAGTGAGAAGGGAGTGGAAGGAGGGTGGAAAGCGACAAGTAAAGGTAAGAGGCAGGGGAAGAGGGAGCTGAAGTGGTACGAGAGGGGCTCAGGGGTTGGAGAGAATGGTAGTGGGGTCAGCAGTACAAGGGAGTAGGAGAGGAAGAAAGAGAGGGTAACAAAGAGTAGGGAGTTGGAGGGGGAGAAATGGTGGTACTTGAGGGATAGGAAAAAAAAGCGTTGGGGAGGAAGCAGGGGAATGAGAGATGGAGGGCATAAGGGAGGCAAACAGGTGTGGTGAGGCTAAGAGAAGATGAAGGGTAAGAAAGAGTAGGGGATAGCGGTGAGGTACAGGAGAGGTGGAAGAGGGACTGTGAAGAGGAGAGGCAAGAAAGGAGGAGTAAGAAAGAGGGTTTAAGAGCCAGCATGGGAATATGGAAGGTGAAGAAGATGGGAGCAGAGGAAAGCTGAGATAAGAAAGAGGGATAAGAGCAGAAGGATACGGGGAAGAAAGAAAGAAAAGACAAAAGGAAATCTGTAATGCTAAGGGCCTCAGGACCTCAGAGACCCCCCTCCATCCTGTGGGCCCCAGAGTTCCAAGAGAAATCTCTCTGTCCACAGCCTCTTCCCCAATCTCTATAGACTGGACCCAGAGTCTACCTCCACCCTCACCCTGGACTGTGTGGAACAGCCCAGTTCTCCACCACTGGGGTTCAGTGGCCCCCTCGGGATTCTCCCTGGGCGATTCTGGTTCAATATTCCTGCTCCCAGGTGAGGAGGTTGCAGTGGAGGGTCAGCCCTCCTCCCAGGCAACTGCAATTAGCCTAACAGCAGGCACTGGTGGCTGGGCACTCCCTCCTGTCTCTGCCCTAGGAGAGAGGGAGGGAGTTGAGGGAGGTGAGGCAGGGAGAGAGGTGGCCTGATTGTGGGAGGGAGGCCTTTCTCCTTAGTTAGATGACCCTCCCTCAAGCCCCACCCCCCAGAGTCACCATGGCAACAAGTGGGCGAGCAGACTGCCTGAGGAAGACACCAGGCCTGTGGGTGGCAAGGCAGGAACAGGCAAGGAACTAGTGAGGGGAATGGAGGAAGAAGGGGCTGAGAGGTAATCCAGTTCCTTGGCAAGCAGATGGCCAGCTGAGGTCGCTGCACTGGTCCACATGCTTTAAGAGGGGCTGGGATCCTTCTCAAATGAAAAGTCTGGCTTTCAGGGCGACCACCTGGACAGCAAGCCTGCCTTAGTCTCTGCAGCCCTCTTCCCTAGATGGGCCTAAGTCACTTGCCTCATCTCATCAGTGTTAGGACTGAGCCAGAGGGTATTGTGTTGCTTGGGCAGCTGCAGGGGTCCTAGGCATTCATCCACAAGGAAGGGGCAGAGCTGAGAGAGCCAGGTTTGAGAACTGTAGGGCTGGCTGGAGATGGGGCAATGCAGGGCAAAGGGAGAAATGTCTCAGAACCTGACAACAGTCAGTTGGGAGACCCTTGGAGATCTTTTGCCTGTTTCTCAATTCTGGCTGCATATTAGAATCACTCAGTCTTTTAAAAATGCTCCCGCTTGGCTCACATGGCACTCCAGACCAAGCAGCTAGAATCCTTGTGGGTGGAACCTACACATCTAGAGTTTTTCAAAACAGCTCAGGTAATTTTAATATGCAGAGATCTTAGCCTTGCTTTATTTTATAGTTGAGGAAACTGAGGCTCAGAAAAGGGGGGAAGGACTTGTCTACAGTCACACTAAATAGCGGCAGAGAGAGGAACTTGAAACCCAGTTTCTCAACTCCAACTCCAGGGTTCTTCCTCCTGGACCATCCTATCAGTGACTGCATTCTAAACAGGTCACTGGCATGTGGGGAGGGGAGGACAGCTGAGGAGAACCAGGCCTGCTCTGGGCTTTTCTTCAAATTCCAGCTCTGGCAGGAAAGGCTTCTTTATCACGCCCTGTACTCTGCGCTTAAGCATCCTAGACCCTTGAGGTAGCAGCAGACGATGGGAGGGGTGGAAGCCTTGACCTGGCAGTGCCCTCTT